GGCTCGTGGAAACTGCGCGTGCTTTGTTGCTGCCCCAGTGGGGTTGGTCTCATGACTTTGAGGAGAAACAGGCCTTTGCTTTCTAGGAGGCCCTGAGGTCCCAGGAACTGAGGAGCTCTGAGCTGAGGTCATCTCGGTGAGCTGGGGCAAAGGCAGAGATTGCGGGGGGAGGAAAACTCAGCTCCCTTCACTCCCGAGTCTTCTCATCTTTTCCTAGAAAGTTCTTAGTGCGGCCTGAGAATCTGCATTTCAATGAGATCGCCTGTTCTCCTGACGATTAACCAACCTTGGAAACCCCCATACTCCTTCCGATTGCCAACCGGCCTTTACAAAAGTCTCCGGGGGTGGATGAGTCAACAGAACCTGTCCCTCAGGTTCCGACTACTCCCCCACTGCCTTCCACCCTCCTGCATCTTTATATTCCCCTTTATCCTTCCTCCTCTCACCCATCACTCGCTGATCATAGTCCCTGCCCTGGAGGAAAGCCACACAAGGTCCAGACTATCTAATCAGGGAGAGGACACATAAGAAGGTAAAATGCAATGATTTGCTCCAGATGTGACCTACCCCAGGGACGGTCAGACTTTCTGAGGGATCCAGGAAGGCTCTGGAATGGGTGACTTAGAACTGGAGCTGGAAGGATGGAAAGGAATTTGCCAGATGGGGAGAGTGAGGAGGGCAGTCTAGGCAGACTGACACCCCTATGTGACCGAAATGGCAGGGCCACATTCATTTCATTTTATTGCATTTAGTATTTTTTATTTAGATATAGTTCACATAGAATAAATGAACAAATATTCCTGTCCCCTATTTCTTCAAATTTTTTTCTGTTCTCCCCGACCCCTTTTTGCCTAGAACTCCAACTGCACATATATTAGACGACTTGATGTTTGTCTCACAGGCCCCTGGGGCTCAGTTATTTCTTTTCCCAGTTTGCTCTCTTCAGTTCGTATTGCTGTGTTTTCAAGCTTATGGATCTTTTCTTCTATACTGTAAATTTTTCGTTAAGCCTAGTCGGTGAGTTTTTGATTATGGATAGATACTGAATTTTTCATCTCTAAAACTTCAATTTGATACTTTTTCATCGTTTTGCTCTTTCTCACATTATATGCATGTTTTCCTTATTGAACCATATTTTAAGTAGCTGTTTTAAAGTTCTTGCCTGTTAATTCTATAACCTCAGTTACACTGGATCTGTTTCTATTGACTGATTCTTCCTCCTGGGCATGGGTCACTTTTGATTGGATGCTGCACATTGTGACATTATAATTTTTTGTCTGGATTTTGTCAAAAATCCAGACTATGTGAACTCTGGGAATTTTTCTTCTTACATCTTCATGGCAGTTTTTTGTTTTGGTTTTTGGGCATTTGGATTTTTTTTTTTTGGTGGGGTACCAGCCTTATAGAATTTCACTTTATGCATGCAGAGCTTAGAACTTAGCCTTGGACTTAAGCTAATGCACACATTTGCTGTACAATTATAGCTCCCTTGGCTTTCCCAAACTCTGATTTCTGCCTCCTAAGCTCAGCAAGCTTGCCATGCTTTCCTTGGATTTCTTTCCCCATGTCCAGAAAGGGCCTTTAGAAAGATAATGAGGACAATCATAGGGTTTGCTGCATTGGTTTCCCTTCTTGACCTGCTGTCCAATGTCTGAATTGTTTTTTAGGGTGTCCATTGTTTTATATATTTTTCTACCTCTTTACATGTCCAATGTCAGTTACTTTATCTTGGCCAGAAGTGTACATCAATTCAAATTTTATATATGTACATACTTGTGTAATTATCACTTTAATTAATCCTAAAAGACCTTGAAAAATTCTCTCTTGCTCATTTCCAGTGAGGATCAACCCTCAGAGGTAAATTGCTCATTTATATTTCCATTCATTTATTTACTCGTTCATTCATTCATTCATTCATTCACTCACTCACTTATCACACACTTACCGAGCCCTTAGTATTGGTCACACAATGATGTACAGAGAGAACAAAATAGGCAATTTCCCTAATTCATTAACTTTTCAGTCACATGAGTAAGTAAATGTGATATTATGACAGTGGTGAGTATTCCGTTAAGAGGTTGATGGTACTATAAAAACATTTAATAGGAGGAATTTTCCTTCTCTGGGTGGTCAAAGGGAGCTTTCTTGAGGAAGTGACATGAGCTAGGACCTAACCAATAAATAGAAATTAATTAGGAAAAGAGTTTGGTGAGGGGTGTGAGGAGAACGCTCCAGGAGAAGGGAACAGCAAATATCACATGTGCGGATCATAAAAATGGACAGAATGGCTGAACACAGCAGTCCCGAGCAAGAGGCTCTGAGTTGAAGTCAGAGAAGCCAGCGGAGCCCAAGCAATGCAGGTTCGACCAAAGAGTTCACTGCGCACTCTGGGAAATGGGAGGCTATCGGAACACTTTAAAATAGGTTAAATGTCGACATGGGGAATGAGGAAGAAAGACGTGCAAAGATGAGGCTTAGGTTTGAATAAGGAAGTGAGCGGTGGGGCTGTGGATGGAAATATCGAAAGAGGTTTGGGCTGTGACTTTCGTTGGGAGATGGTGTTTGGATAAAAGTCTGAATTCAGTTTGGGTCTTACGGAGTTTAAGGTTTATTTGCCACATCAGGAGGAGTCATCAAGGAGGTAGTTAGATATACGGAGTTCAGAGGAAAGGTCTGGGCTGGGGATTTAAATAAGTGATTCACGTTTCCTAGTAATGAAGCGATGGGTGGTGTGTGACACGAGAGAGGAGAGATCAAAGTGAGGAGAGGGTCACAGCCAAGGACCAAGTGCTGAGGACTCACTAACACATAAGGACAGCTCAGGAGCAGGGAAACCAGCCCAGGTGACGAAAGAGAAAGAGCAGACAAACAGGAGAAATCCAGGAGGACATGGTGTCACAGAGCCAAAGGGCAGGATTGATGAAATGCCGAGTGTGGTCTCTAGATGCTACTGAAAAGTCAGATAAGATGAGAACCTAGACACGTTCGTGGGTTGGACCCAGAAGACGCACTGGAGTGGACCAGGGAGTGAGTGGGAGGCGAGGCCATGGAGGCCGTGGAGTCACAGTTCTTGGAGATTTGGGCTGTGATAGGGAGGACGGAAATGGGGCAGGAGCTAGAGGGAATGAGAGGGTGAAAGAAAGAATTGTATTGTGTTGTTTGTTCGTGGTTTGTTTGTTTTAATGGGCAAGACGTGAATGGATTTAAAAACCAATGGCAAGGATCCAGTGGGGAGGGAGTGTTTAAATACAGAAGAGAGAAGTGTGAGTCTTGAGATGGAATTGAAGGGTGCCTTCTAAAGTCTGGGGAGAGAGAGAGAGAAAGGCTCAGGGAGGTAACCTAATACAAAGGTAATTACACAAGGCTGCATTCTTTAAACGTAATTTATTGCTTTGAGGCTGTGAGGAAGCAAATGGTCTTGCTTTGGTTCTGACTTTCAAAATCAAGTGCTTCTGCCCAGTCATTGCTACTCAAGTTAGCACAGCAGACCCCCAGGTCATCACAGGGTGTCTTGCAGACCCCCAGTCCGTCACGGCATCTTGCATACCCCAGCTCATCACAGGTGTGCTACAAACCCCGCATTCTCACATGGCTTCCTGAAGACCCCCGCCTGCCACAAAGCTCATTGAATAGGAGAAACTCAAGGTTTTAGCCCTACCTTTCTCTCTCCTTTATCCACTTCCACCATGGTCCCAGCACGAGTGTAAATGCTCTTTCAACTCAGCCCAGTGCACCAAGTGTCTATTGAGCCCCTATATTGTGCATCATAATGAGCTGCAGGCAGGTAGAGCAATGAGTGGTACATGTAGCTCCCAGAACAATCGTTGGAAGCTATTTGCATTGAGGCAGTCGCCTGCATCAACCCTTCAGTGGGTCCCTTGGCGCGGAGTCCAGTCTGTGCACAAGGCCTGCACAAGTCCTCTGCATTCTGCAGCTGGTCTCTCACCACTCCCTGTCCCCTTTTTCACCAGCCTTTCTAGGGTCGAGATTCCGTTCTGTGGAAACTTTTCTGTTCTTCAGATCTACTGGTGCCAGGCAGCTCTCAGCCTAAGCCTCTCCTCCTCTCTTCCCTTCCCCTTTTTAAACATTTTTTCAAGTCTTAACTGGCTGTCACTTCCAGTAGAAGCTGTATTTCCCAGGACATAGATGTGCCCAAAGCCTGTACTACCATCCCACACTTCTCATATCTGGTGATATTTGCTGATTGTCCATCTTCCTAATAAGCTCTTGAAGGTCAAGGACTCTGTTTATAGTCTTCCACTGTAGCCCCAACACCTCACATAGAGCCTGTATGTGTTCACATGTCCAACTAAATGTACTGACTGCACGAATTATAAATAAATGGTTCCTATTCGTCGAAGAACTTACTGATCATCAGGTAGACATGCATGCAGTCCACGATAATCCACGCAGCAATAGAAGTAGAATCAAGTTTCAGCAGTAGGAGAGAAAGCGATGAAATCATGACAGAGAAGGAGATGGGGCGGCTCTCAAGGAGGTAAATGGCTAAGTAGAGTTTTCGAGAGTGAGAGAGAAGGGCTTTTCCATGAGCAATGGGAGGGACATCCCAGGAGAGCAATCAGTTTGTTCCAAGGCACAGAGGCATTAGGAGCAGGGAGTGTCATGTCTGAGGCGGGGTTAGGGGGGATGGGAAAATGGGATGCAAGGAGCTGGATCTGAGCTGTCGGCCATTGCTGTAGAGTGCAGGAAGGCTGCAGATGGGTGCACTGGCTGGCAGTCGGGCTAAAGAGAGGGGAAGGGGCCAGCCCTCGGAAGGTGTCAGTCAAACAGAGAGTTTGGACTCTCTCCCCCAGGAGGTGATTTTTGGTGCAGAGTCAGATGGGTGGGGTTTACTCTGGCAACTGGAAGAAAAGTCAATTTGAAGGAGCATGGCTGGAAGGAGAGAGATGAGTCCAGAAGCCTTCGGGACCGTTCAGGGGAGAGATCAGAGGGTCCGGACCATGGGCAGGGCAAGGGAAAGGAGAGAGGTGGGGCTCGAGATGTTTCGAGAAGGAAGAACAGTTGGCGACTCCCTGGGCATGGGGAAGGAGGGTGACGAAAGAGCACAGAGTGGTCGTCAGTCTTCTCACTCGGATGACAGCATGGGTGACGTGACCACCTTGGAGGGAAGAAGGAGTGGGCTCGGGCGGGGAGTGGCTTAGGAGGTCAGTTTAGACTGTGCGGATAAAGAGCTCAGTAGGTGGGTGGGTGGATACATGTGAGTGTAGCTTAGAGAGAAAACTCAGCTTTAGTCAAACAAATAGATACAAAACCATAAAACAAAAATTATCCCATCCAATAAATGAAAATGGAGAGAAATTCGTAATTTCCCAAAAGAATTACTCATTGAGATTAAATATTCTTTTACATAGTTTCTTCTCATTTTAATCACGCCTGGTATGATAATATGTTATTCACTTTACACGGATTCAGTTTCGACAAAGAGGTTTTTGAGTGGCTATCGTATTAGAACTGGCCTGACATAGACAAGTGACCTCATCACACTCAATCCTCTGAACGACTCTGTAAGGTACAGATAATTATCCCTATGTCACAGAGCAGAAACAGAAAACTGAGGTCAAGAGAAGTTAAAAACTTCCGTGAACGCAAGAGTTAGATGCAAACTCAACCCTGTCTTACGCCAAATCCACTTGTGTCCAACTGCCATTGGATCATGAAGTCTAAAATCTTCCTGGTGCCAGAGTCTTGCTGGATGAGGCCTGTGGGGGAGCAGGCAGGCGTGGCTAGAGCTAGCCACACTCAAGGCACTTGGAGGCCCGCCGTTCCAGGACAGGCTTCTGCTCTGAGTTTCCACTTTTTGAGGGACATCAACGTAGTTGGGATGTCTGCCTCAGGCATTTACCGGCATGTTGTGTAGATCTGACCATGGTGGGAAAATGATCAGATCTACACAAAAGGGACGAAGAATACTGGGAGGGATTTCCAAGGGGTAAGATACCACTTTCTAAAACTTTGCAATCTGGTTTTGCTATCTCGCTTCTTAAAAAATAAGCCTGTGAAGCAGAAACAGCAAAGAGCATGGGATCTGAGATTTGGGATTTGAGACCTGACTGAATTCCAGGCAGAACAGACTAGCTGTGTGACCTGAGATAAATTACACAACCGCTCTGAGGTCTGTTTACTCACCTGTAAAGCGAGGACAACCATAATATCTACATCAGGTGGTTATTGTGAGGGTCGAATGAGGTTATACGAGAGAACCCACTCCGCTAACTGTCTAGCTTGTCCCCATTCAATTGCTAACGGTGTGGAGTGTTGCAAAGTCTCTGATTCAGGGGCTGGACCCTCAGCTTACCACCCCTCAATGGTTCTTTCCTCTCTTGCAGACTTACTTCGTTCCAAAATGGCATTTTCCTTTTATCGAGTTTTCTTAGTCATTAGCCTCTGTGCGCCAATCTATTGTGTGTCCCCAATCAGTCCCCCTAGCAAAGGATCCCCCCGCCCTCTCTTCACAAAGAGCAGCCCCGCTGCCTGGGTGTCTTCCAGCAACACCAACTTTGCCTTCCGCCTGTACCAGAGACTGGTTTTGAAGACCCCGAGTCAGAATGTCTTCTTCTCTCCCGTGAGTGTCTTGACCTCCCTGGGCATGCTCTCCCTTGGGGCCCGCTCAGCCACCAAGACCCAGATCCTTCAAAGCATGGGGTTCAACCTCACACACACGCCGGAGTCCACCATTCACCAGAACTTCCAGCATCTGGTCCACTCACTCAGCATCCCCAGCAAAGATCTAGACTTGAAGATGGGGAGTGTCCTCTTCATTGAAAAGGAGCTGCAGCTGCAGACAAATTTCTTGGACAATGTCAAGAGTCTGTATGAGTCAGAAGTCTCTTCTACAGATTTTTCCAACCCTTCTACTGCCCAGGAAAAGATCAATAGCTATGTGGAGAAGAAAACCAAAGGGAAGGTTGTAGACTTAATCCAAGGCCTTGAACCTCTGACAGCCATGGTCCTGGTGAACTACATTTTCTTTAAAGGTAAGGCTCCGAGAGGTTGATTTTGATTTTAATGTCTGTTCTCCGCCCCACACCTCCAACCAGTCAAATAAGCAAGCTAGACAAACCCTAGACAGCAGGGTGGAGCAGTAGAAAGGCCTAAGTTCTAACTAGCTTCGTAACTAGATGGCTGCTTGACCTTGGAGATCTCATGGTCCTTCCCTTAGCCTCAGTGCATCAATGATAACACGGGCTCATTCGGTCCTGTCTTTGTATAGCCTGACTATGTGTCCTGAGAGGCTAACACTGGCCACAGTGGGCAGCCCATAAGGAAAATCTGCTGGAAATTAGCTTGGGAGAAAGGACCTTATCTCTTGCCACCAGTAGTTGCCCCACTGCCCGTGAAGGTTTTGAGCAGGGACACAGAGCTCTCTGACACCACAGTTTAAGAGAGAAATTCAAAGGTGAAAACACGTTCAGAGACGCAGAAGGTCACACAGGCCAGTGTGACTGTCATTCACATGCCCTGCACATCTGTCTAGAGCTTTACAATTTACAAAGACACTGTTGCAGCAGAATAAGCTTCAGCTATAAAGCTGGACAACCCTGGGTTTGAATTTTACCTCTGTGCCGTACTCACTCCATGATCCTAGAAATATTGCTTTAAAAGATCTGCTGTGTATTGAGTGCCCGATGTGAATCAGTCTTCGTGCTAACTGGATGGATGGATGATAAAGCCACCCTTACAGGGTTGCGTTTGGGGTTGAAGTGTCCAGACTCTCTAGGCAGAGTTATCACGGATGCTATTACACCATCCCTCCCCCATTTCCTCTCTCTTCTCTTCCTTTCTCCCTCCTTTTATGCATACATTTTTCCCTTCATCTACTCATCTCTCCCTGTATCCACCATTTACCTATCCTTCTACTCAGTTATCCATCTATTCTGCAATGTGAGAAGATAAACATAATTAATATGCTTTGAGCCCCTACTAAGTTTCCTGAGCTTAATGTATGTTGTTCCATTTAACTTAATTTTATTGAAATATAATTCACAAACCATTCATCGCTTTAAATTATATAATTCAGTGGGTTTTGGTTTTTAGTATATCTGCAAGTTTGTGCAAATACCTCTACTATTAATTCCAAAACATTATTATCATCTCAAAAAAAAAAAAACCATTCA